CCAAACCCTCCACTGAATTGAATGCAGCTACAGGCAATCAAATGTTGCAGATTTTTCATTATTTTTTTGTAAACCTGGAAAATCCCTTTTCATAAATATTGCTCTTTAGCGCCCTTCAAAATTTTTTCCTCTTTTTTTTCATTATTTTTTCATGCCAAATCCAGTGATTTTCGTGATCTCAAAACTTATCCCAAATTTTTATGTATTTTAGGCTAGAAAGATAAAATTTAAACAAAAGATGACGTTCCATAGGTAGTCCACCCGGGCCTTAATGTGTTTTTTTTTCTTTCGATCAGTTGTTACATTCAGTCGAATTTTTTCGATCTATCGTACTTTTGTTTATGCCAAAACGTGCATTATTTTTTTTTTTAGCGACGAAATGAAAAATAAGAGGTTGTACGCCTAAAAGATTGCCACGTAACTTTTGAGCCGAATTTATCGTTTGTACATTTTTAATTGTAATATCTAACGACTTTTTGAATGCTATGAAGCGCCTATAGACTTCTATACCCGGTTAATCGACAAACCATTCATTTAAGATATAATTCTATAGGTAACTGAGATAGTGTTCACTAGTTTTTCGTATATGGATGAATGGATAAATAAAAATTCTGCGTTATAATATTTGAAGGGGAATGTGGTCAGCGAATCTGATAATTAACACTTCGAATTCGATAATAAATCCTTTTAATGTTTCAATCATGTCATGTAATGGCGTAGTACTGTGAATTCTGCAACGATGCAAATATACAGATAGTCATAAGACAATTCAATTGAATCAATAAAGAAAATGTTTATTTAAATGGGTCTAATTTCTGCTCCCTGATAATTTATCCAGGAATTTTATTTCTGTGTGAATTTAACTCGAGCCCGTCAATTCAGTTGGAGTAATTGTGGCGAGCTAATTTTAAATACACTGGCTCCCTTTGTTAGATATTTTTGAGAATTCTATTGAAACATGGAACGATATTTCAGCAAATCTCTCAAGGTAATGGAGACTTTCAGCGTAGCTATTAATATCTTTTACTGATTTTTTCAAACTATAGAGAAGGTTAAATGATAAAATGACGGTCTTTTGATTATTATTTTATTTTGGAGCACCTAAGTAAATATAAAATCATCGTACATCTATTCCATTCAGCATGTCGCTATATCACTGTCATGTTATCGTTTGCTAAATATATATATAATATATATTTATGTATAGATTTTAATATGTATATATAAACTATTTTCTAATCACATACGAAATAGTAGGCTCGTGTGTATACAATAATAATATATGGCACGTCAGTCTGTTACGTTTAATTAATTGAATTACTTAATTCGTATGTATTGTTTAAATACTACTGCGCGATACATAGTCAATTGTTGTCCTTATGAATTTTCTTTATTGCTTTTAGAAGGGTTTTTATGATTTAAAAAATTCGTCGTCATTTTGGCATGATGTCTCAGTGGTTTCACTCTTCCCCGCACTACCGTATCATCTCCATGTATTTTTGCTTGTGTTTACTCAGCATTTCAGTAACCGTAACCAGTTGTTTTATTGTCGGCTGCAAGAAACATGCTTAATTAGTGAAAGTCACGGAGATAAAAAGTTTTATCTCTTAATTGGATGACGTACTTGAGTCTTGGAGAGAACTTGGAGTTCGCGCAAATGAGAGACACAGATATGATGAAGTGTTGCCAAATCTCGAGCTGTGTCTGAAAAGCTCTGACTTTTGTTACGGAGATCTGTGCCGTCAGACTCCGGTTTTTCGATTACATTCTGCATACAAAGTGGATATTCAAGATTACAGCAGACGTATTAAGAAATTCAATAGGAATTCGATTTAAACCATGTTAATTATATGAATAGAATTAATTACCGATAACTGATCAAGGAAAACGACCATTCGTTCCTTGTTCTTCAGTATGAATGGATTGACAACCTCCATGTATGGCTCTTTCCCTCCAAACTCAACTAAATTGGCCAAGTTTTGAAGACACTTTGCGACCATGACGAGAGATCTGTGGATGGTAATTATTCATGATAATAAAATTTTTTTAATATGTCCGAAAAACATTATGAGAAAACTGGGGTACCTGGCAGCGGCTGGTGGCGGTGGTTCAGCAATTAAATTGAAGGATCTGGGGTTTAGAATAGCTGGGCATAACAAACGTAGAAAAATGAAGCCACTGACAACACGAGTTCTCACAAGACGCTCGTGTGGCCATTTAGACACAACGGCTCTTTGCAAACATCCACATATGTATCTCAGGGTCTTTGGACATGCGTCGGGGCTCGTAAAAATGCTGAGAGTCACTTCATCCAGAACCTAACAATTGAAATAGAATATAATAACAATTATATAATTCATTGCAAGAGCCCTAAATCATTCAGCAAATAATTAATAAAGATATTTTCATCGATCTCAGGTGTTTTGATACAAATCGACACTTAACATCTATGAAATTGGATGAATTACTTGTAATAAAAATTCAGCATTGCTACACGCATCCTCCGGCGAGTCCATTTTCGTTGGATTGAGTTCACAGCTCTGTTTACTCTCGATGAGTTTAACAATGGTATCGCGTAGGGCAGCTTTGAGGAATGACGTACAAACTGATTTCATGTAAAGATCCATAAGAGTAGTTGTGAGACTGGCAGCACGAAACAATGTAGGTGTTTCGTCCTCTTTGTCAACTTCAGCTTGATTGAGTGATCGCAGGAGATCAGCCTCCTTTCTCTCATGTCTAAATATTCTCAGTAGACTATTAGCCAATGGGATTCTATCCAAATGACAGACATCGGCTAGAGCACGAACAACATGAAGCTCGGGATCGAGGAGGAGTTGCTGGAGAGGGCTGTACTCCTCTGGAGGCATTGCAAGGTCGTGACGATATCGTATACGTAAACGCAGTGCTCCCCATTCACCAATGGGCGTGACACCCACCAGTGGATACCACTCATCAATCTCCTCTCCATTTGGTAAATTAGCGAGCTCCACTGACACTTCAGCAACTTCCGTGTCCTTGCTTCGTTTTCCCTTGTTGTAAAGTGTCAAACAGAATGACATTACATCAGGAGGCACATCTTCCAGGACAAATTCTTCATCCCAGAGCAGATGCATTCCAGTCTTAACTTTTGTGCGAGCAACTTTAACATTATTTAAAGCAACTATGATGAATGGATTTGGTACCAATTTGTATGGCAATCTGTGTGCATCGAGGATATGCAAATGCAATGATCGCAGCTCACGTAGACGTGCCACTTTGGGGGCACGTGTTAGTTGTGATACACAAAGTGGTTTTAATGCATTTATCCAGTCTTGAGCATTCTCAGAATTTGGTGCGGCAAGATAGGTTATCGTCGCCAAACAGGGTAGTGCGCGCTCGACCAGTTGAAAGCAGTGGGGCCTGTCGAATACACTCTCATGTACCTGGTAAAGATAGGCGCAGCTGAGGTCAATGAGTCCCTTAGGTTTGGTCCTCTTGGGATTATCATAAAGGTAGAGATGAGTATCAGTGGCATCGACCAGTAGTACAAAATACAGTGCCTTCCACTTTTTATTTTTTTCCGATTTTTTTTCAAGATAGCCCTGCATCTTAATCCCTTTATTCTTCTTGGCTCCAGACTGTTCACGACACTCCCTGAGTGTAGCATAAATTTTCTCAGCGTGCTGCACCTCCCTATTGACTCGGACACTGCCATCGGGCTCAGTGACCATGGCCTGAACGAGTGTGTGCCCCTCGACAATCTGCTCTTTCCTGTATCGATTAATAACAGCATCGAGACACTCGAACGTTCTTCCCCCCATCAAATACCTCACCCCTTTCTTTTCAATTCTAAATCTCTGTATTTGATTATTGATGTGAAAGAAGAGAGAGTAATCCCCAGGGCTGTTGTCGGATGGTCTCACCAGGAAGCTTCCAGGGCCTGCCTTCACCAGCATATCAACAGCCTCGCTCTTCGTTACATTTGGATGAAACCACGAAAAAACAGTATTCGGATCGATCGAGTCATCCAAATCCTCTACCAACTCACGAAATATGAGACCCTGTTCCCCCGTTCTGTGGGCGGTCACCCACAGCCAACCGTCTCCCATGTCGTTGTGCACGAAAAATATGTCGCCTTTCTGGAAACTCAGTTCATCCGTATCCGGCATTTTTGTATACGGCAAAATAGCGACAATTCTTTTTTTATCGTTGACAGGCTCAGGTGGTGGCGTTGGATGAATTAGACGCTCCCGTTTCAAAAGGTCCGAGCAGTGGGTGTAGTACGCCACCAAGTCCGAGAGACTGTTGAACTGGCGACCACCGATATAATAGTCACCGCAAACAGCTGTTATGCGGAAATGGTTGATTCCTGTCCGACCCAGGTAAGACAGTACGTAGCTTCCTGGCTTTCTATCGCTCTCGCGCACCAGATAGCTGCCCATTTTACTCGCATCCCACAAACGCTCCTCCGCTGTAAACCTGTCCAGTCGGCCATGATACCACCTGTCAGAAAAATCAGGGGGTTGTATTTACAATGACGAGGGGGCTTTTCCTATTGGATATTTCGCCATAAAAAAATCGTTGTGATTTCTCTAAGAAACGTTCCTTATTTTAGAGTGAAACTCCAAAACACTTTATCGTTAATTGACGCTCTCAGCACAAACGAATGATTTATTCACCGAAGACATTCAATAATTCTCCAGAATTATACGTTTCATGTTGAGAAATTTATCCTGCATTTAAAAAATTTTTGAAATTCACCTTGAATTCGTTATCTTCTTCATTCCTACTACCTCATCAATTTTATGTAAAGAAAAAATCAATAATTCATTGAATAATTTCACAAAACTTGGACAAAAATAACTTCCTATCGTTTCTATCGTGAATTACCAACCTGTTCAATTCCTTGTATTTTCTGAAATTTTCGTGGAATTGAATTCGATAATAGAGAATCATTAAACTTCGAAAAGAATGATAACGATGATTCATCGTCGAAAAAAAATGATGGATTAAGGGAAAAATAAGCAAAGCAAATTGTTCTGTGAATATCATAAATTTCCTTATCACCGCCAACTTCCTCGGGAGTATTCTTAAGACCGTCCCCCACATCCGGCCCCAGAGATTACCAAAACATTCCCTCTTCCTGTTATTCCCGACTCCCCTATCTGAGTTAAGTTGAGAAAAAATGAAAAAAAAATTACTGAATCTCCGGTGGTGCAGTGAGTAACGTTGCATTTGCACTGTCAGGCTCCTCGGTGTCCTGTGGATCGTCTGGAATATTTTCCAAGAAAGGGTCAAACTCGCTCTCGACATTGAGTGACTCATTAGGTGCTCCATCCTCACTGCCCGTACTTGGCGAGCCACCTTTGCTTGGATGATCAATCTGAAAGAAATTCCCCTGTCATTCATCTCCCAAAAGACATGCCAAAACCCCACATTTCCCCCAACCACTGAATTTATCTCGTAAATCCATCAGAAACTGTGGAGTGAGATATCCTGTCGTGCTCGAGACAAAGAAAGGAAAAGATCTCATGACAGTAATCGACCAATGAATCCCCACAAATGCCAATCAATTCTCCCACTATTCTCAAAAATTATCCTCATTGCATTTACTCGCTGTTAAATCATCAAATAAATACCTTTGCACTGTTTGACACGCTGGGTCCACCGCGTACAAATTCAGCCATCTTATTCCGTGATCCAACGAATATTCAAACAAACAAATCACCACAGTCAATTACTAAAAATAACCATTTCAAATGCTTGCCGATATCTTCATTGATAGCCCGTAAAATAACCATGTGCTATTAACATTAATCTTTATTTAAACCTCGATAATTCATTATTCCGGAGTAATAATGTATTGACGTTTTTCAGCCACCGTCCATTTTACCACTGGTAGCACGCGTGACAACAGCATTTCTCCCCCAAGATGGCTTCGCAGGGTGTTAAACATAGGGTGAGAAAAAAAACTTGATTACGAACATTCGAAAAGTTGAAAATGAAAACAAAGTCGTCAGGTGAATCCGTTCATTAAATAATCGTCATGTTGTCTCAGCGAACAATTATATTTTTTCAAATGCCAAAATGAGGTAAATTATTTATTGATAATAGTCACTCGGTCGATAATACAGCGGGAGATGAGACGTGTAGCTTTTTTAATTTCTGGAGGTTTGATCGAGTTGAGTTGGTTGAATCAGTTCTCATGGTAACTTCTAACCCTTGAGTTGATTTTTAAGTTGTACTTTATCGAAAAAAATAAGAGATTATTGTTATCACATTTTGCCAATCGTCGAGGCATGAGGTATTAGTGCTGTTGTATTAGTTTTATTCAAATGTTTAATTTATTAAAGAGATACAGGAAGAAGAGCGACGACATGTCACTGCTGAGGGACTGGAGAGGTGCTCTCCAAACTCCACATGTCTACCGGGTTGGAAGTAGCTCGGTCAGGGTCCAGACTCAATGTTTAATTGCACTAGTTATATTGTTCGTGCCACTGGTGTTCTACGCATATCCCAGGATAATGAATAATGACTGTCACTCCAAAATTAACTGCAGAGAATGCTCTGATCATTATGTTTACAATTCCACGTATCCACTGACAGCTCCCAGCAAGTCATCAGCTGGTGTGACTTATAAAGTTTCAATAATCAGTGATTTGGATACTGATTCGAAGGTACAGGACAAAGGGCTCTGGGTCAGTCATGTTAAAAAAGGAGTATTGATGTGGAAACCCAAGGAGCGGAGGATTTCCTTGCATTTTGATGAGAAGCATATCACTCTCTCCTCGAATATTGCTATGAAGGATCGGGGTATGGAGCTATCAGAGTTGGTTACCTTCGATGGAAAGATCTTAACCTTTGATGACAGGACCGGCCTTGTTTTCTACCTCGAGAGGGATAAAATTTATCCTTGGATCATACTTATGGACGGAGATGGGAAGACTGCTAAAGGTTTATATTTTTATAATCACATCAGGGGTAAAGTGGGACAATTTTTGCTAGCTTTAAATGGAGAGGAATTTACTTGTCTTAATACGCCACTATCGCATCAACTGGAATTATTTAAATCGTAGTGTTTGCGATAGTTATCAGGATTATGAGTTTATTTCCACATTTATCGGTATGTCAGGTAGTCAGAAAAAAATGCATCTGAATTGTTGAGTCATTTGCCTGACATTATGCAACACATTAATTATTTTATGATGTATCATCGCTCAGCGCTTATCCAATCGTGGATAGCATTCATCATTTTCATGCTTATTTCAATCTGGAATTGTAAAAATTCTCAATTCCAGGTTTTAAATCCGAATGGGCAGCAGTTAAGGATAATTTACTCTATGTGGGAAGCATGGGGAAAGAATGGACAACACCCGGTGGAGATTTTGTTAATAATCACCCAATGTGGATGAAAATAATATCACCCCGGGGTGATGTCCGCTCAGTCGATTGGACCGATAATTATAAGAAGCTTAGGAGAGCTATTAATATCGAATTCCCTGGGTACATGCTCCATGAGTCTGGAACGTGGAGCGAGAAGAGGAAGAGCTGGTTTTTTCTCCCTAGAAGGTGCTCTGGGGAGAGGTATAATGAGACAACAGACGAGGTCATGAGTTGCAACTATTTACTCACGGCTGATGAAGATTTCTCCAGGATTCAGGTATTTACCAGTGATTCTATTAGCAAATTGCTGGGTTCTACAATAATCCTCGCAATTTTAATTTGAGTTAGGCAAATGTGAAAGATATACAAAGGGAGGAATTTGTTCACAATAAAATAATACTTATATATATAAAATAAAAATATAATAATACTTATAATACTATAATTACGTTTATACCAGATAATTAATTTTTTTTTCCAATTGCAGACAACAAAAATTGTGGGAAGAATACCAATTCGTGGTTTTTCAAGTTTTAAGTTTCTCCCAGACACCGACGACACCATCATAATTGCCCTAAAATCCGAAGAGTATCAAGGCCGAACAGCAACTTATATCACGGCATTTACGATCGAAGGAGAGATTCTATTGGCAGACATGAAAATAGCTGATTTGAAATTCGAGGGTTTCGAATTCGTATGACGCAGCTACCGAATTTAGGAGAAATTGGATTAAAAGGGGCATAAACACTCGCCACGAATTACTGTAAATATGTACAAAAAAGGGGGCGGGGGGGATTGTGTTCTCAACGACTTCAAGAAAAAGCGAATTACAAAAATTATCTACGTGTCAATTTCAGTGGACTTCTGTTCAAGCGAATGTATTGTTTATCGCTTTTGATAGGCTATTCATGCAATCTGTATTGAATGTCAATCTTTTTGTAATAAATAATGAAAAAATTGTGGATGACGCGCATAAAAAATTTTAATACGAAATTTGTCTGAGAGATTTAATCATGTTCTACTGGACCACTTTATAGGAAATTATTCGACCATTTTTTTCAGCTTTATTTTTGTACATTGTGTCTATATTAAAACGAAATTACAAAACTTTTGCATAATTATGAAATAACAATGATTTATTGAATTCCCTCGATTCATGAATTGGCAATTTTCGCGTTAACGAATTGCCGGAGAAATTCAGTACGCAAGCGCTTGCTGGTACTTGCGCTTGCGAAGTATGACTGATTACTCGATATTTATATATTTACCAAAACAAAATTGATGAAAATTCGTGAAGTTAGGTGTTATCCCGTGAGTAACTTATGATTGAGTGATGGCGATAACTGACGCACATAGTCGAGTAATTTTCAGACTCATGCCAAAATCAATACAATGCACATTTGATAGAGTACAGTGCAATGGAAGGGCAGCACCACTGCAGACAACCCGATGCATTACTTGACCCTTCGGTACCACCACGATTACACATGTGATACAACCCTGTTTATAAATAGTGTCTGATGATTGAAGTGATAATAAAAAAATGTTTGTGGAGTCGATGACAACCCATTACGAGTGATAATGACAGCTAATTCGGAACCGGATTGGAGCGTGGCTAGAAGGGGTCTTGCCCTTTTCCTGAATAATAAGCCTGATGAAACGGAAGTACTATTTGCTGATAGAAAGCATAGCTTCCATGTGAAAACAGCTCGCTGCTACATGCTTTTCATGGTAACTCTCATTACGTATGAAATCATGAAAAAACACAGCTACCAAAAAATCCAAATTTAAATTGTATTTAAAAAATTGTATTAGAATTCCAGTCATTCCTATTTATTATACAAGCGGTTCGAAATTATAGGATATTTTCCAATATATTCGTTGCAAGGAAATTATCGAATAATGTGGAGAAATGCAAAATTTTCAGGGCATGAAGAACACTCTCGGAATTATCTCTGAATTATTGAAGATATTCTCGGTTGACGACGGATTATTTTACAGACTATTTGAGATAATAATTCATGAATACATCACCCTCGGCACTCTTATCGATTCACGTTTATCTAATTATTAAATGACTGTCAAATTGGATTTTTTTCATGCGTGATTCATTGATCGGGGTGTATTGAATGGAAATTTCACGAGAGGGAGGGGTTCTAATGAGAATTTTTTTGTAGAATGCACTTATGACTTTTGAAGACGAAAAATTCCAGCTGGCCATGAAGTTATTGAAAGAAACAGAAAGAGAATGTGTTGGAGACGTCGGATGGTTGAAGAGTGTTACTAATAAAGTCTTTGGATCGGCGACGACTGATGTGAGTGGATTTACATTAAAAAAAAAAAATCATTTCAGCAATGAGGAGGCAATAAATCAGTGATTGATGCGACGTCTGTTTAGCCTTCAATTCCTCATTACCTTTCCTTTTTTCAAATGATGAAAGAAAAAAAAAGAATTGCAGTCTAAAATTTTGGAATAAAATATTCGATTCGTTATTTATTCGATTTAGGAAAATGTTTTAATTTAGGATGACTACGGGAGAAAACTGGAGAAACAAATTGTCCTGGCAGACACCCAAGTGTGTACCGCAATGCTGGTTCTTCTTCAGCAGGAAGTTAGTAGTTATGTACGAGGTGGATGGATGATGAGGAAAGCGTGGAGGATTTATCAGCACACGTACTGTCAAATTCTCCAGCTCTACAGGCGAACATTCGGCATTAATCCATCCGGTAATTCAATTTTTTCCTATCCGTGCCAAAACAGCTCATCGATTTTCAATTCTCCGATATGCATTTTCGCAGGATTCAACGGCAACTGCACAAATAATGAAAATGGACTTCTCACCTCTCGATATAGGAGTTCAGAGTGGTCCCTTGGCTCCTACCACAGCACTACTTCCACATCCCCTCCGATACTATCGCCTTCTTCCATTAAGAATTCATTGTCAATGATATTTTCCCTCACGGGGATGACGAATCAGCCAGAGAATAAGTACGTGACGCATTGCTATCAGCTTCCAGTGCAAATTTCAAGTTAAAAGTTGAAGGGATTTTTTTCCACAATTCCCTAGAATATCGATAAAATCACAATAGAATATTTAAATAATTTTTATCAAAGTTTAATCACCTTTGAATGCAATGATAACAGTTTTGTAGAGCCAGCGGAAGTGATACGTCTGATGTCAGCCGTCAGTTTCGGTTATGGAATTTTTCAATTATGTGTCAGTCTTGTGCCGCCGTCACTTTTGAAGCTGATCCATTTTTTGGGATTCGAGGGGGATAGACGAGCAGGATTGACAGCTCTAATGTATGCAAGGCTGAGCGAAGATATGCGTGCACCACTTGCTACGTAAGTGAATTCAGTAGTAAGGTTCAGGTACTTCTGTTCATGGACTTGGATTTGATGTATAATAATTTAATTGAATATTCAATAAAAATTGTGATTCATTCCAGGTTATCTCTGTTATGCTATCACACAATAGTCAGACCATTCTGCTCACTCCACGATTGGAATATTAAATCCGGAGTTGACGCCGCCAAACAATTAATCAGCGAGTGCCAGCAGGATTATCAGAATGGAGGCCTTTTTTTATTTTTCTCAGGTCGCACGGAACGCCTTCAGGTACTCAATACTTAGAGGAAGATTAGAGGAACATCATTTACAATTTATTAATTAATTTAAATATATAAGAAATGCTCTATGAATTTTTTTTCTAAAAAAAAAATGACAATGTAAAAACGTACCTGAACCATTGAAACAATTAAGATGGACAATCAATTTTTCTGCGAAAAGATAAAAATGGATTAGTTTTCACGACATGGCATTTCACATTTCTTGAAAAAAAAATTGATGAAGCTGCGGAATTTTTCAACAGAAGGATCAAGAAGAAGTTTGCTCTAAGAATTTTCAGTTGCTCGAGAACTTGTGTTTTTCTCGGTGAAAGGCATACTGAGATGAAAAAAAAATATTGTCAATAGCCTCCAGGCACTTATAAAAACTTGAAAATTCCAGTCAAATATTGATGCAGCTCTTGTCGCATACGAGAAAGCCATGTGCTCATCAGCTCAACGAGAAATTCAACTGCTCTGTCTTCACGAAGTTGCTTGGTGCTACGTCATCCGCTTGAATTATGCAAAAGCTTACCAATCCTTCACCAGACTCCAACACGACTCCAGATGGTGCGAAAGCATTTATGCGTACCTAGCTGCTGGTAATAGTCTCACCTTCTCCAGGAGAAATTAAGTTGATGATTCTGACCAGCGAATGATGAATATTTTCATTGCAGTGTGTTCTGGAGCGAGTGGTGAATCTGATGACGTGCTCAGGACTTTCAGGGAAATTAATGCTATGATTTCCGGTGAAGGAAAAATCACCCAGTTGGATACGTTTGTTGCGAGGAGAGCGGTGAAGCTAGTGGCCCAGAATGAGGGTGTTTATACACCTGCCTATTACAAACTCTTGGTTTATGAACTGCTTTATCTCTGGAACGCTATGCCCTCGTGTTCTGTCGATTCATTGGAGAACGTGATAGCCGGTATGTAACGAGTAAAAAATAAAAAGTAAAAATCGTAGAAAAGTTGAGACGGATTTAATTAATTTTCACTCGAATTGATTCGTTTTTCCACATCTTTTTTTCCGTAGAATGTAAAAATAGCCAAAATGATGAACCCATGTTGGGCTTGGCCTGCCTGATAGCAGGCGCTTCCTACTCTTATCTCGGGGAGCAAGTGTTGGCTATAAAATATTTTAAAAATTGTTTGAAACTCCGTGCCCCCCACTGTGATTCCGAGGATCAACACATCAGTGCTTTTGCACTCTACGAACTTGGAAGCACATTGTGCAAATCAAACGTAAGTATCATATTCACTAGCCCAGACAACTTCCTGCGTTCGTAACAAAATAATTAATACAGTTTTAATTAAAAATACTATTTTATAAAACGTAAACGTTTTATAAGAAGTTCGTAAAATAACAGAGAATTTACGGTGTAATAGCAAAGAAATAGATTTTTCTACGATTACTTGACTCTTATTTATTACAGTCAATTCCGGAAGGTGTAAGTGCACTGCTGAAAGCACAATCACAATACAAAGATTACGATTTTGAAAGTCGCCTGAGTGTGCGAATACACTCGGCCCTCAAAGCCCACTCACAATAACGTGTGAAACTGACAAGTCATTTCACCAATGTACTCACTTGCCTTTCATCCTGAAATGAACATTAATCTAAATTATATTTTGCCTGTACCACATTAAATCTAGTCCAATCAACCAGAATAATGTGAAATTAGTGTAACATGTGTCTTTTTCCAATGTGGAAAGAAATTCCCGTTCAGATAATAAAAAGAATTCCTGATTGATAATCACTCGGTTCAATATTTCCTCATTCCTATTCACTTCCTTCATCAATTCCCGACGGATTGTGACTGAATGCACGATTTGATGGTAACGAAAAAAAAAAAACGATCAGCTGTCAAAAAATATTGAAGATGAAGACCAGATGAATTCCCGAAGTGGATGTTGCTGTATAAATTCTGGAAGTTGCCTAGCCAGAAGTGATAATCGTAGGATTTTTTATCAGTCGGTCTCCCGTACCCTAGCTTTTTTCGTAGTAACAAGTCTCCTCGGTAAGTGTATCTTAAAAATTTAATCAGTAATCATTGATTGACAGAAATTGGTTAACGAACGTACACGAAAAAAAAAAGTTGTAGTAAAATTTACTCCGACGTTCAGTAATTGCTCTGAAGGGGTTTCTACTCCGAGGTGTAATAAAGAACACGATGAGTTTAAGAATGACAGTTTTTACTGCAACGTCGGGGTAAAAATTTCTTGAGAGCGAATATGTTACAAATATTTCTCTATGTATCCTCTAGCGATAACTGTGTCTTATGTCTGTGACCAGTATTCCGCCAGTGATTCCTTCAATATCATAAAAACCGACTTGAAAAACCTCCGAGGTCACTTGGACACACTCACGGTAAATCGGTAGATCGAGGTAATACGGGAAATGAAAATTATCGCATGATAGATATTGAATTATTCCTCAGATGGAAGTTAAAAATGTCATTGAGCTGAGGGACGAGCTCCAGAATAGAATTAGAGAAATTAGCAGTGTTATGCCAAAAATGTCAGAAGCTATTTCGAAACTCCGTAACGAAGTGTCGGAAGGTAACTGATTATTCATTATCCAATGTGTCCTCTAATCTCGTTTCTGTGTGTTTCGTCTCTCGGGGCTTTTCATCAACTTTTCTCGAAGATTTTGGGGCAGAGACCAGTGAAAAGTTCAAGGATGTCGTCAGGAGAGAGATACAGACTTATGACGCTGATAAGACTGGTCGCACTGATTATGCTCTCGAAGCAGCTGGTTAGCAGTCCTGTTTCCTCATTTTCAATTGATGCATCAGTTCAAAAATCCGGAGAATTCCGTGAATAATTAAATTCCCTAATATATAGCTCGATTCAATTCGATAAAAATCCTCGATACTTATTTTTTTACATTCAATTTTTAAATGCTAGATTTTTTAATTGGCTCTTTCATTTTTTAATTTACCAATTTTGAAAGGAATTCTGTGATAATTAATTTTTCTGGGCCCAATTATTGAAGGAGGATCAATCGTCTCAACGAGGAACACAGAGCCGTATTCAACGGGGGCCTCAGTCCTCTCCCTCTTCGGGATGCCCCTCTGTCACAATCGAAATACCCCACGAACCGTCATACAGGTAAAAAAAAATCCAATTACGTAATTGACATTAACAATATTTAAATGGATAGACAGGAGCTCTTCCTGGTGAGTGTTGGGCGTTCAAGGGCAGCACTGGATCAGTGGTTATCGAACTTCTGGGGAGTGTCTATATTTCCGGTATCACACTTGAACACATTTCACCCTCGATTTCACCCACTGGCGAGACATCCACTGCACCCCGAGATTTTTCCCTCTGGGTAATTCTATTATTTCCGCGTGATCAGTATTTTTTAGACATGCATAATTAATAGATTAAAAGCCAAAAGCATCCGTTCGATTCATAACTTTATCAATTTTTTCATTTAATTGTCATTGCCTTTGAAGGTAATTAAACAAATATTATAGAATATTTTTGATTGGAGATGGAACAAGGATTTAACGAAAAATTCGGTGGTTTTCTTCAGGGCCTGAAACACAAAGAAGACACCGAAGGCATTCTCTTCGGTGAATTTACCTATGATAATTGCAATTCACCGGTGCAATATTTCAAAGTGGAAAACCCAGCGAAGGACCCTTACGAAGTAGTCGAAGTGAAAATTCACTCGAACAGTGGCAGCCCGGACTACACCTGCATCTACCGCATCCGAGTGCACGGTACTCTAAACAGACTCAATGAATGAGCAAAATTAATGAGATGAGAGTGTGAATAATTAATCATATTTAACGGGTAATTTCATCACTCAATTTATTACTCACGTACATTGTTTGCCCCTTTAACATCCAATATTTCGTCTCTAGATTTTTTAAACATTTTTTTATTGCATACGCTATACACTAGGACGCTGTTCCCGTTAATTTATTAATCTCGATCTCTCCCTCTCATTCACCCGGCAATATCGTGCATTCGATTGCAACGATATAATTATTTATTCATTAGATTTCCATTCTGCACCCGCGAATACCCTCTCGGTGCTTGTCATTTCATATTATTTTCACTGTAATGAATAAAACAGAGGTGTGGCGCATTATCTACAGTGGTTTTTTCTCAGCTTCATTTTTCCTTTCTTCAATTTAAATTTATCATGCGCATCACTTCCTGTGTACGAATTCAGGTCTGGAGAAGGCTATTCATTTTCTGGTTGCACTATAATTCCACATTATTCATCTGTTCTGGAGAAAACGGGGAATTGGAAATTGGAATATTTGTGTTTTCCGTTTTTCGCCAAGTTTACGAAGGGTGCAGGTTTTTTTGTTCCTAGAAGGAGTAGAAAGATAGGACTAACGTGGGATGGGGATCGGAGGGGACTTATACTATATCGGCGCGGCGATGTCGTCGCGCCCAAAAATCACATGTTGTTATCGAAAATGTATTGACTCAATGAACTCCATAATAAACTGGTAAAACCCATGAGAACGAATGCACTTTCTATGTTCGATACGAGATTGTCTCCATTTCATCAGCAACTCCAGGGGAAACTGCCAAGGATATTTTACTCCTTCAAATACAAAAAAAAAATCAATAGAAAATTCCAGTTTTCTCTGTTGAAATTCTCTCGAATATTTCGCTGGAACTTTCGAGAGAGTCTAGTGTGATTCTGGTAAAATTACGGGGAATGAAAAAAAAAATTATAATGCTTTCATATAATACTTGGAGAATTCTTGAGATTTTTCAATAGTATAGAGTTCATATATGCGTTGGCAATGTTGCTCTGGAATTAGTGTATAATCGTATAATCGTATAATCTGTTATGGCCAGTGAATGGCAGAAAGTGACTTGTGAGCGCGAAGAGCACTGAAGAGACGGTAACGGTGCCCAAAGAGTGTCATATGATTGAGGAAAAAATATGAGGAGGAAATGCCGTAAAAAGACAAGGTCATTCCTCCAGTAGTGTATTTTCCGGATTGTCCAGGCGATTCATAATACTTGGAAAGTTGATGGCACCGTGACCGCGCGAACGCTCGCCAACGAACGCGAAGGCATACAGTTTCATATTCCAATACAATATATTAATTATCTATACCTTTGTAGTATCAAAATAAACCTGCACATCGAGTGTAGATAGAATATTCTATGTACAATTGTAGAATTGTCTATATTGCTTCCTTTGGTTTTCAACATATTTATTCTCACGTTTATTTTCATTATTTCTTCAATTCGCCAACTTCTCACTTTTATTTGTAAAGTTTACTACTAATGACTCCTCCAACAGTTTTCAGTTTTCGACTGCACATGTTCTCCATTTTCTCCATATTTTCTGGTATTTTCTTTCGGGAAATACTCTATGATTGAAATATATATCACAGATGTTAATGAGAAACGTTTTCTAAATGTTTCGAAAGAAGCTGAAAATAGTTTTTCTTACAATTTTAATTACAACGGTACAATAGATTTTCCCTTTTCGCTGGACGACGAAGAATTTTTAATAATCATCGGCGAAATTTCATTCCGTCAAAAACACAAGTCTGTAGTTATTTAATCTAGCAATTCCTACGTAAATTCAACGAGTGTCACATGTAAAGAGGAACATGACATTTAGCTCGTGAATAATGAGAGAAGATTGTCAATGGTTTTGTTTTTTTCCAATGGCAGAGCACTGTGGAAATATTAGAATAAATACAATTCTCCAATAGCTTCGAGCTTACGATTGTTTTTTCAATGAAACCTACTGATTGTAACATACGATTCACAGGGTGCATACAGATAGTACGTAGTACAAGTAAACAAGTACATGTAAACATCTGTCAAGCTCACCAGCCGATTGTCTACGTATTTTCCTCCCCTTTGGACCTAGCTTCCCACTACATTTGTTTGTCTCTATGAGAAAAAGGACAGTATCTTCGCATTGGTCAGACCATCACTCTAGATCATTTCCCCTCAGTGCTTTCACCACTTGAGACGAGAAAAATCGAGGAATTCTACACGAACGAAGTGGTTTTTTGTTTCTAAACTTTTTCTCATTTCACAACGACGTCTATATTGTCATGCACTACGCATCTCTCGTGCCCTTGTCCCCGCGAATCACTGAAATAAGTTCATCAACGTTAAGTCGAGGCAGCGAACACTCAGTAAAATCCCACGAAATTTTTCTACCTTATCTACCTATCACTATATTATCACCTACACCACTCACCATTAAAATCTAATACAAATTAATTCATCATATTCATTTGTTATAAACAGACTATGGAAGAGTTATCACCGACTAACGATGAATTATCGCACCCACTGTCCCTCAATTATGTTTCACGCGTCAAATTTATCTCTTATTTCATTAATAACATCATCAATCTGCGATGATTCATCAACAAAACCAGTGCTTGTCTCTAAATAAGCACTTGGATCGACAATGATACTTATACTTTTACCATGCTCACCAGAACTACCCGACGAACTATCATCAACATCCTCATCAACATAAATATTAACTTCAGCCTCTAGATCTCTAACGGGTGTGCAAATAATCTTATTAACTTCAGTTATATCTAAATCACTTGTACCAGCTACATCATCATTTACATCATCACTCACATAATCATCTCTGACACTCGTTACTACATATAACTCATCGATATTAGTACCCTGAGACGACGAGAACTGTTCATTATCATTATCCGTGTAGGTGTTGGTGTAAGCACTCGTGATCTTGAATTTGGACGGTCTCCTCTCATTAATTACAGAGTGAACGTCGAGATCTTCGGGTGGCTCGAGTCTCCCAAGTGGTTCCTCCTTAGTCACATCCGGCCTGCGGCTTTTCGCCCCATGCCGTAGACTGTCGGGGCTGTCGACAACAGTTAATAAGTAATTTGTGGATTTTCCGGGTACAGTGAGACTCGTGTCGGCTGTTTGTGGTGTCTGTGGTATTCGCTCCAACGCTTTTCTCATCGTTTTATCCGCCAGCCTAAGACACACTCTCTCCTCATCTAGATCACCACGATCATCACGAATGTATCTCCTTTCAGAGGGCGATGGACTCGTCTGGGGAATAATTATTGGTATCGAAAGATTATTTAAGGGTCTTGGTACTTCTGCTATTTCAAAATCTGTCACGATGGGTAGCAGTGGACCCCGCTGCTGTGAGTGGAATGTCTGACGGCGTTTTAGATGCATCCTTGAATTTTTAACCCCACGATACGATGAGCTTCGTCTTCTACGATTGCTCCTGCGTGTTGTTGAGATTGATGAGTCATCGGTATGGATTTGTCTCTCCGTCGGGGGATTGTAGATGAAGTTGGAGGGCAGCGATCGTACTTTCGAGAGGCCTGGACGTAATCTCTCCTTGAGGTATTCACCGTGAAATTCACGGATTCGTTTGTCAGCCAAGTCATCGTACTTTCGCAATCTGTCAAGGCCATTGAGTCGCAGCTTCTCGAGTAGATCCTCATCCCCAACGTCCAATCCCAATTCAGCCGCCAACTCTTGTCTCTCATTCTCCTCCTCCTCTGCCTCAGCTCTCTCCAGCAGCTCCTGCTGTTCAGCTGCCAATTCTCGTTCCAACTGCATTTCCATGTCGAGCTCGTCCTCAAGATGCTTGTGACTCTCCTCAAGGTGTTTCATCAATACAGCCACCACAACATTAACAAGAACAAATTGTGCCATGAGAACAAAAATAACGAAGAAAATCGGTGCTATTATTGTACTGACACAGCAGTTCTTGACACAGTCCGTGGAATCGTCGCAGTCATCACGTAGTGTGTCCTTCATGATGCCATTCCAATTGTCACCGGTTGCTACCCTGAAGAGGGTCAAAAAGGCCATGCCGAAATTACTGAAGTGCGCATGCTCACCGAGCCCCTGACACGGCATCTCATCGCTGCACTCTGTGCACATAAATCACAAAAAAAAAGGAGAGACATGACAATTAAAATGATGAAATCAATAGTTGAAACAACTTGAGGTCCTCAACACCTCGAGAATTAATTAATGACTCACCGAGTCTACCAAATAGTTCAACCCCGAGGGCTGCAAATATGAAGAACAAAAGGAAGAACAAAAGTCCCAAATTGCCGACCTGCGGCAATGCCTGCATCACCGTGTCTAATAGAGCTCTTATTCCCTTAGCCATCTTCAGTAATTTGAGAACTGCAATATAATACGGTATAATAAAAGTAATTTATTTAACGATGGCAATAAAAACATATGGATATAAAAATACTCCAATTGTTTGAAAAAATCAATACTGACCCCTTGCAATACGCAAGACCCTCATAACACGAATAATTGTTGGATTAATGGGTATTATCTTGGACTCGAGTTCCTCCAGTACAATTCCAACAACCGATAGAATAACGATTCCAATATCCAGCTGATTCCACCTGTCCTTCATGTACAATTTAATTCCCAATGCGAGTACTTTCATCAGTGATTCGAGGATAAATACAGCAGTGAAGAAATAATTAAATATCTTCAATGCATAGGTCAGTGCTTTTGGCATCATATAAAATTCCATGGCCATGGTGACAACATTCAATCCAATAACAGCAGCAATGGCAAGATCAAAATACTTGGATGTGACGACATTGTGAACGAGTAATCTTGGTTTTGAGTAATTCTCGTAGTACGGTGGCTCGTGCATTTTACGCCTCTTCTTTTCCATCTGCAGTGCCCTCTTGGCAGCCCTCCGTACGCGTTCCTCTTTCTCCTGCTCCTCCCGGCAACGATGAAAATTTTCAACAACAACACCAACAAACATGTTCAAAACGAAGAAACCAACGAGCAAAATAAATGCTATGAAATACAACAAACGCCACTCTGAGTAGTTCTCCTCAGGCTGTTGGTCAACTCCAACAGCATCCAATCCCGTATACATGATATTAACCCAGCCGTCTCTCGATGATAAAACAAAGAGTGACATGAGGGCTTTACCAAGATCATCGAAATTGTACTTTCTATTTACCCAGACGTTTCTCTTATCCTTCAAGCAGTCTGTTTTATTGCGTACATCTTTAATATCAGGACCATCGCAGTAAAAAAAGGCCCCTTTGAACAGCTGCACACCCAGTATACCAAAGATAATGAAGAATGTGCAACATATTAGAACGATATTGCCAATTGGCCTCAGGGATGATAACAACGTTTGTACCACTAGTTTGAGACCAGGTGCGCGATTTATAACTCGTAGAGGCCTCAGTGATCTCAGAAGACGAAATACTCTGAGAATTCCAAATATACGTGGACTGCTGGACGATATTAAGGACATCAACAAGTCAACGATTGATATTATAACGAGGGAACCGTCCATTATGTTCCAACCAGACGTAAAATAGGCATCTGGACCGTACAGCATCCCCGAGGCCACCACCTGCAATCATACGTTCAACATCATTTTTCCTTCCATAAATAACAGCTGTTCCCCTTTAACGCTACACGATGTATGATACTTCACCACAACACAAAACATTCAACAACTTGTATCCATTTTTATAGTCTGAATAAAACAGTGACTCATGCACGATTCTTCTCGATGGAGGTAAAAAGGTAAAAGGTGAAATATCGTTAAATGCATTTGGCCATTTAATTATTCAACATTGTCCAATTATTTTTCAAATAGCCAAGTCTCTGTCACAGGTGCATCCGTGTCAAAATATCCCCTCCTCTATTTAGCTCATTCAACAATTTCGAGTGGATAGTAATTAAGAGGCTCTGTATTTTGGGAAGCAGCTGCTGAAATTAGCGAATGAGTGGGGAAAAAAAATAAATAAAAAAATACTCACCTTAACAAACATCTCGATTGCAAATACAACGGTGAATATATAATTGGCAGTGGCAAGAAATGCCCTCTCTCGACTGTCTGATGTTATCGTAGGGCGTTCCATAGCGAGTGTTATGCAATTTAATCCAATAAATGCAAGTACAACATTGTCAAACCATTTTCTGTCGACGAACCATGTGCACCACATACGAAATCTATTGTTCGGTGAAAATATGTACAATGAGTATTCGTCGCGTTCCTTCATGCAGCCCTTTGGCTCGAAAAACATAAATATTTTTTTTATCCTCTCGACACTGCTTGCACTACCACCGCTATTTGAGGGTGGTGTATGTTCACTGTGCGATGAGTATCTATCGTTATCGATATCATCTTGTACTCTCTTGATGCGCGGTAATGCACCAGTATCAATAGTCAAATTATTGATTGTCCTTGATGCTGCACTGGATGGAATATCCTCGTAAGGTAAGACTTTGTGGGCTTGAACGATGTCGTAGCTGCGGAATGAATTTCTACGGGATAAATCGTCGATCCATCTCATCTGGAAATTGAATAAAAATTCAAGGTGAAGCGTGCTCCTCTATTCATCACGATATCCAATCGAACGGAATTGAAAATAAGAGGAAAATGGAAAAATAATAGGAGAGGGAAGTTTCAATATGTGATGAAGAGTACTTTAATTAAAATAGAAAATTTTTCCATGAAAAGGGAGACTCCTTTTTGTATCCACCCACCTGATGAGAAGTCGTATAACAATGCCCCATTGACGAGCTATGACTCCTGATAGAATTGTTGGGGCTGATGCTGCGATTGTGACTTGCAATCATGGTGGTACGGTTGTTGGGTGCATCTCTCTGCGTGTCATTGCGTATTGAGCCATGGAGGTATCCACCGTTGTAGCCCATGTATTCACCGGTGAACAATCTACTTGCAAGTGAAATCATGACAACTAGGAGTTCACTGATTAATTAGGAGAAAAAAATCAAGCCCAAGTGGTGATGAATTTACCCTGAATTGGATCCACTCGTGCTGCGACCGTTGTTCAGGATGGTAGCTTGTACTGGTGACTCTTCATCACTCTGCGACCATCTTTTCCGACAGATCGATGGCCGTGACAAACGCGAGGAGTATCCCCGGCGTATCCTCGGCGGACTGGTGTTTGATAATTCACGAGATGCTGAGGAATTGGAAAACGTCGATATACCGGGACTCATTCGTCTCGATGTCTGACTTCCCACTAGATTGTTCGTTGCGTATTTGTGATTGTTGTTGTCCGGAGGCTTTAAAAATCCTGACGTTAGGCTGCACTGACTCTGTCAAAGGCCAATTCCATCGGTTATTCATTCTTATAAATTCATCAAGGCCTGAGGAGAATTCTCACGAATTTACAGAAAAAAATATTTCTATTGAATAATAAAATATTGCCATCACACTTGCAGTATTTCAAATTCCATTTTCTTCCCGCAATTTCTGTACAAGATTGTAAAACTTTATCGTGAAATTTTATGGAGACCTATATGATGGAAAAACCACAAAGTGATATTATTTTTATTTATTCATAAAAATCCTTGGGCACAAAATTTACGAATTTTCCAGATTAATTTTCAATTATTTGTTATGATAAAATAAAAAATGAGAGAAATATCAAAAATCAGTCATGAACCTTAATTTTTTCTAAAAGTCGAAATCTTTTCATAAAATCATAAAAATTAGGTGTGAATTCATAGTGACTCACGCTCGATCGATCGATGGATTCGATTGACAAATTGATAGGATAAATGGCGCGGTAATTAATGTCTCTGTAGCCGGTGTCTAAAGTGGTATTGGGAGAATCCTGGGGCGTGGCTGCAGTGTGAGTTATGGTGGGTGGTTGACCGGCAACTCCCATCATTTTATTTTCCTTCTGTATATTACACTTGAGCTCCTCGATGGCTGCTTTTCTCCACATGCGATTATGCTTATCCCTCCGATAATTATCCTTGAATTTTCCGAGATCATCGACACTCTGCCACGAGTTCTTGCGCTCCTGCAATTGAATGAGACAAAGCAGAAGATGGTTGACAAAGACTCGAAGGATTTTAATATAAAAGTGGATTAATGCAGGATTATACGAACTTGAGGGGTGTACGTGTCACTATCAGTTATCGAATGTGATCCTGAGAGTCTCGAGCTGGATCCCTCATCACTGCCAATACCAGACTCCTTTGCAGCGAGCTTTGCCATTTCCCTTTGTTCCCTTTCACGTCGTTCATTTCTCTGAAGAATAAAAAAACGAAAAAAAAAATAAAATAAAGGTAAACAAGCGGTGGAAAAAAAAAGAATAATAACAAGAATGAGATAGGGTAGATACAGAACGGAGAATTAATAGCCGCAACTTTCTGACATGAAATCCCCGTCCCTCTCGGAGTGAATTCACTTACCTCAGAAGAAAAGCCCTCGACGAGAATGGCAACGAGCAAATTGAACAGAACGTAATTGCCAAATGTCATTAGTGCGACAAAGTAGAGTGCAGCCCAGTGGGATGTTTTCTGCATTCCATTGAATAACACAACATTCCAGTCCTCCTGTGTAAGTATCTGTTCCAATGATAAATAAAGTACACCAGTGAAATACGAGATTTATATAATCCAATATAACGTCAAATAAATAAATGAAACGAAAAATAAATAATAATAAATAATAGTTTGTAGAGAAAAAATATTGAGGTAACGATCGAAGCAGAGAGAAGAAAGTTCGACTACATCCACATATTTTATTAATCTCGATAAAACATCAGAGGGCTTTTAGATCAATGAGAAGAATTGTAAATAATGCTAAAAGAAAAATACGAGGCATGCTTCCATCGTTATTCTCGATGTTGGCATGTGAGTAGATTATTTGAAATAAATCATTACAACATTCATCGGTGTGTACGAGTGTTTGCTTAACGAGCGCTGTAAGTACAACGACATTTATAAATATCAAGAGTAAATAATAGATAATAGATGACAGATAGAGAAGAGACACTTAACAGACAAGAAGAAATGGATTAAAGTTGGTTGGTCAGGTGCTATTGTTAAGTAATCAAGTGGTCAAGTGGGTGGGTAGCTTTTATTGGAACATTGGTACCTGGAATACAGTGACAAGTGCCCAGACGATTTCGTTGAAATGCTTTCGATCACAGCGACACATTGGGTGGTGTGATACCACCTCGGCACAGGTACATGGCCGACTCCGGTCCGCCCACATGCAAAACTTACCCCCGAACAGGTACATCCCTAGTATGCTGCAACCGAAGACAATCCGGTATCGCCTTAGAGTCATTTGTCTTTTCCACATACAATTATTTATTATTTTTTCCCATCGTTCTATTCTCACCAGCTCCAAAAAACAAACTTTTCCTTATCTATGGATGAGGAGTTCGTGGGATTTACAGGGTACCACTGCTTCTGAGAGAAATACGAAATTTTTATTATCAATCGGGCAGACTCAAGCTGAAAAAAATATTCATACTATTTTTTATTTCTTTTTTCTTGATTCTTTTTTTCATTGATTTTGCCTCTCATTGGATTGATCGATGAGTGACTTAATTATTCATGAGGAATATGTTTTATTCTATGCGGTCAACTGAGACACTCGATCCATCCCAATGAATAATATCCCGGGAGATACAATAATTTATATTCTGCCAAGACTTCGCATTTCTCTCAGTCACCCCGAAGCGAATAATTCGGTTAAATATTTTGGCTTATAACTAAAAAAAAAAAAAGAGAAAAAAGGACTGAATTGAAGTGCGTTCTTCGACGTGAAGTACGAACGTCTGCGTACTGAATATTTAAGCAGTTTGTGTAATTTAATTAAAACCACAAGGAGGGGCCAACATTCCGCAGGGGTTGGACCGAGAAAAATTAAGGGATAGAAAGAAAATGAAAAAAAAAAGAGGATAAGGTTGATCGCGGCAGATGTAAGGCAATCAGACGAACTCCGTCCAAGTGGCACTCAAGCATGAGGTAAATTGGCATAGGGGTTCAGAGGGAAAATTCAACTAATTAGCAGTCTTATACGATGCTCTTCGAAACTCGTTTAAAATCATTGTAATTACACTGTATAGAATACAACTAAATATTATACTGCAATGTGTGTATGAATGGTATAACATGTGAGTTAGTGAAAACTGTTATGATGCTATTCTCTCATTGAATATCTACGATACATCATTAATTTAATGATCACTGTTAATTATCTCGCCCTCTCGGGCATTAAAAAAAAATCGAATCCTAATCCACTGAAATATTATACCGAAGTTTGCACGACGCGAAAGTGTTTAACGGCGTCAGGGCGGCAAATATGCATTGCGTGGTATCATAATAATCCTTATTTAACACCGATAAATGATAATCATGCATAAGCTAACACTGATAGCGGCCAGAATCAACGATCGACCTTCTTTGCACACATAAAGAAGACGTCGAATGGGCATGCAGAAGCGATCGAAGGCAACCCAACGCATTTTCCATTGGAATATAACCGACTGTTATATTTAGAATATTCACTGACAGAGACAGCTTGTTAAATGTTCTATTCTCTCTTTAAATGATTTACTACCGGTATGAATTGAGCTTGAAACTTGTACGTCTAACCCGATAATCCCATTCCCATTCCTATTCCTATTCCCATTCCCATCCCCATCCCCATTCCCATTCCCATCCCCATTCCCATCCCCATTCCCATCCCCATTCCCTGCCTCACCCCCACCAATCGACAGTGTAACTTATTTACACTTCTCATTATGTATTCATGTACTCAATTTCTACCCTCAAATCCCAATCATCCCGAGAGTATAGTGTGATTTTTTTTTTCTTCTCCTATTTAGAGTAGCTGCGGTAATTAAGGTAAGTAGTTTACGCAGAAGCGAGAGAAGCAGTATGTATTGAGGTTCATGGTGATGGACAGGGGGACGGGCACAGGCAACATGCGCAAGTTTAGCAATATTATCAACAAACAGTGATATTATACTCGGAATATCCAAGTATTTCCGTTAAGTAATTGTAGATGATTAATTAATGCATTACAGTTGGGGTAAGGAGAGTATTAGAGTGAAGAAAATTAGAGATTAAAATCCGACATTCCAAAAACTTATACGTTACCTTTTTTCATAAATCATAAATGTAGATATGCGGTCACACACGAGAGTTTAGCTTTAAAAGAGTAACATATTGATAGACAATGGTGTACAATAGACGGGGAGATAGTGGAAGATAGTAGAAGATTATACAATGGAGAGTTCAAGTGATGGGGGAACAGAGATTTACAGAGTCAAGAGAGATCGTGAGTAGATCAGAAGTAGACGAATGGAGATTCAACAGATTTTTTAAAAATAGATAAATATGGTTATACTACAGCCCTCGACGAATTCATTAATTTCAATCTCTTTTAAGTTATTTGTTAGATTTTTTTTTTGTTATCCTGGTTAACTTTATGTGGATACCTGAAATACTGTCACTATTGCCCACAGTAACGAGTCAAAGTTTTTTCTATCGCACTCGACGTCAGAGCTGCCTTTCATCGTTTCACGGAATTTGCAACCGAACAGGTTCATCCCGAGAATACTACAACACAACGAAACGTGCGATATACAATTTTTTCGTCTGCTCTCCTTGTATTCTGATTTTTTTGCTTCTTTTTTTCATTGATTTTGCTTAACTCTACGTATTCTCAAGATGCTTGAAAACAATTCTCCACTCTTAACTAATTCACTAATAATTAATCAGTGAATATTATTTAACCATGGATCGACGGTTGAAAAATCGGTCTGTGAAGAAAACACGAGAGAGTAACAAAAGGGAAAATAAAAATAGAAGATAATAATCCTCTGGCACAAATGCTGAATGCACAGTATTTCATTAATGGATGCCTGAAGCTTCGTACTCGGTCTTTGAGTGGCCCGAAAGAGACAGAAAATAGGAAAAATGGGGGTGATAGGTGGGATAACGAAAAAAAAAAGAAAAAAAAAAGTAATAAAGCCACTGGAAGGCGACCTCATGGGCAGACGCTTTAAGGATTTTCCAGGGCAGGGAATACATCTGCCAAGCTTGACTAAAATATCAACGACAAACAACATTGACGATTGGGCGCATCAGAGTCACTCATCAACAATGGAGAGAGATATTTTGAATGTAAAAAAAATTCAACAGCAGTAGAGTTATAATCAGAGTACATTTAAACGCACGCCATCACTAATGCATCCTTCATGTGCTCACGGTAATGAGTCTCAATGATTGCATGATTTTGAGGGGTGAATGTGGTGTGAGAGCACGCAACTATGGCCAAATCAAAAATATAAAAACCATATGCAATTTATCACGTTTGAAATTTCACACAGGCACTGAACCCGAACCAATGAACAAATTAAACCAACGAGAATCAGTTAATAAACAGTCAGAGGAATGATTTCAAAGAAATTAATGAGTGAAGTCGGCACAAATCGTCTAGACACATCACGATTGGTAATCAACAGTATAAAGCACCATGCAGAACACGTAATAAATAAATCCTAGTGAATTCGATGCCTCAAGCAATTTCAGAATAACAAGTGCAGAGAGATGAACAGTTTCTCAATGAAAAAAAAAAATCTTAACGTTTAAAAATAATTTTTTGACAGAAATAAAAAACGACTTTCTATAATTAAAAAAAAATGATTTTTTTTTTAATTTTGGGGGTTTTTCAGAATCAAGAAATTTTTTTTTTACCGTTAAAACATTTTTTTTCATTATCAAGAAACTCATTTTCTCTCTTTTTTGTGACAATAAACAGAATTGTCACGTCCACTTAATCTGTCTTTAATCGTATTTTGTTAACGTGCCAACAACACCATCATCACCCATATTACACCATCAGCGTCGTGTACTTGACTAAAAAAGTCAATGACTTTGAAAATTAACTGAAGCCATTGGCTGGGATTCCAGCCATACCCTGCGATAAATTACCATCGGTAAAACATCCTTACTGATTCCTGCTTTTTTTTTGTTATAGTTTTATGATTATTATATTTTTTTCCATCGTTTCATTGGAGAGGACGCATTCGCACTAGACCGATGTTTCGACCAAATTAAAAATAACGTTCGATTTTTCAGAAAAGAAAACAAACAATAAGCAGTGGATTACTGAAAATTCACGGGAATTCTCATGACTTTTTACTGCCACCTCGGATTAACTGAGAAAAAAAGGAAAAATAAATGCCTGGCCAATGAAAAAAAAAAAAGTACATCTCTTCGGCTTTTAGCGTAAAAACAGATCATTCGAACAAATATTCATATTTATGACGATAAATTTGATGTAAATGGTAATTGAATAGTTGTTTTTTCATGACTTACCTGAATATGAAGATGAAGAGGACCAGGAGGGAGAAGAATACTGCAACGTTGTCCATTGTGCGTAGCATAACGAATAATTGACGTCGTAAATTTGGCATGAAACGTACGAGTTTGAGGATTCTCAGAAGGCGAAATGTGCGTAGAACACTCAAGCCTGAACTACCACCGCGTTCAGCTGTGAGTGATTGACAAAGCTCGACGACACTGTTAATTTAATGAATTACCATAGGATTATACGTGGTGACGGTGAATAATTAGACGGCAGACGTGTGCAGGCTAATCACGTGGAGGTGTGATCGAATTACCTCAATATAACGACGATACCGTCAAAGACATTAAACCCATTTGAGATGTATCCAAAGGGCCCTTCCGCCACAACTTTAAGCAACATTTCAACTGCAAACACTGCTGAGAAAACCGTGTTGCTTATCTCCACTATCAGCGTCAATTGCTCTGGCTGTGGGTTAAATTTTATCCGATGAAGCCCTCTTTCAGCCACAATTACCGGTTGTATAATGACCATAATTAACGCCAGTATGGGCATTAAATTTACCTGGTTGTGATATTCAATTCCCATGCTGAGGGTATTGATGAGAATAGCCAGGAGTATTCCCTGCTGAAAGTACTTGTGCTCGACTAATTTCTTAATCCAACTACGAGCCCACGTGAGTGCCGATATACAACAATTTCCAGATGTGATGAAGAACCTCTTCACCTGGGACACCTCTCCCTCCTCAGCACCACTATTCTCCGGCCACTGTGATGCCTCGTGAATGTCACAGGAACATGGACAAATTTCCGCATCATCGAGACTCTGGCCTCTATCATCGCGGAAATTACTTCGCTCGGTAATTCCTAGATTGGAAGAACAGATAGTTACACATTTGGAGATTGTGCATCGGGCATTTGGTAATTTGCTGTACGTGAGGCTTTTTTTTTTCGTCGAGGGGTAATAGACCTTTGGCAAGTGAATTGAGAAAAGTGTCACGTCCCAATTGGCCGGTTGGCAATGCTGCACCCAGGGCACCACTCAGTGCTAGCAATTCCTGACAAGTCATCGCCTCACTCGTTCCCAACTCCGCCTGGAACTGAAAGACCGAGTCGAAGATTAAATTAACACTTCAGGGATTTTTCAGGTTCACGAGTCCGTCGAAATTATCGATTCAGCTCTGTTTCGGCAATGAAGTGGAAAATGAAATGCTGGGAAGGAAATTTCTCAACAATTACTAGATCATCGTGTGGACAATTCGGGAAGTAACAATCAGAAATAAAGACAGGCATCAGCTTTACTCTACACAGGTTTCAACCAAATTTACGGAGTAGTAAAATATGAGGGATTGAAAAATGAACCGACCGATACATTATTATTGGTAATTCTCATGAATTAATTAGTAAAATTCTTCATTAATTACGCGAATGGAGGGTCCATGAAAAATCATTCGCAAAAACTTAATTATACCTATCAAAAAATATGAATTTCGCATAAAATCCCAAAAATGTCGATAAATTTTATCAAACTCCCATAAATTTCACAGTAAATTTCAATTCTTCGGGACAAGCACTAAAATTTCTGTCCGAGTACTTTGAACTTTTTATTCCCCAAAAAATCCTTTAGCCCTTTACAATCTCCCATTCCCCAAAATAATTCACGTTACTCACAGTCCAGTAACAAAGTGATAAAGTAAGTCAAGTGAAATCGCCATATACCGAAATGGAAAAATTCCATTCATCGAGTTTTTCAAATTAAAATCCTTTCGCCAAGTAAATTTACTCAGCAAAAGACATTATTCCTCTCAGTGCAAGAAGCTGTTGCTCCTTCAGTATTTTTATGAAACAATTTACAATTACATATTTATTATTAAAAATAGGTGGACGTGGCAAAAAGGTAATTAATGACTTTTCGATATGAATATGGACTTGGATATGATATAAACATACTTGACTGATGTGATTAACTGGGGTTGTGGACCAAACGTTCCCATCACCGGTCTGCGTCATCTTCTCACTGGAGCAAACGTTACGCTCGCCACAGACCGGTTGACCTATGGATCCTGGTAATGTGTTTACACTACCACCATGAAGCATCACTACGTCATTAAACATGACACTGCTTCGACGACGATAGTGGGTACAGGGTGGACTCAGCAGTGCGTTGCTGGTCTGAGTAAGAATAGAAAGAGTAGAAAAGAAGGGTTTTCTTGTGGTACATGATTAATAGTTCTACTCAAGGAAATATCTCTCCTCGGAGATGTTCAGGGGAGAGAGAAAAAAGGATAATAAGTGGTGATGGTCAAACCTCGGGCGACGTGACGACGTTGTTGTCCCCGGTGCCATTGTTGGAGGCAGTTGGTGGACGATGGATGCTGGCACGATGGCTGCAGCACTGGTGAAATGACACGTCTGTTTCCGAAACTTCTGGACTTGCACGTGGAGCTAAACTTCCCCTTGGCAGGATGTTCTCGCACAGTTCACTCGAGATGTTCCGGTCACTTTCCATTGACAGAATGTGACGTGGACATCGCACGTGATGAACACGACGATCTGTTGGCCAACAAATTGGTCACCGCGAAAAAATTAATAATTAATGCCCACATGTGTGATTAATTATCCTCGCTAGACACCTCAGTTGACCTCTCTACCAAAGTATTCTTCCCTGTTCTGACTAAAATAATGTATAGCAATCGCATTTTATTCTTTCAGTCATGAATATTCTTCATCGTCAAATCGATAGAGAACGGGCTACAGGTGGTAGTGGTGACAGTGAATTCCTCAATTCCTAAAACCAGTGATGAATATTCAAAAACTCACCGGCGCTCGATAAACGATTTGTCCTGAGATTAACGACGTTTGGACGAAGATGAGCCTGTTGTTCTTTAAGTAAATGATTTTCCTGTTTCTGCTGTCTTCTATATTTCCACAATCGATACTTCTTAGCCAGACTACGTTTGCCCTTTCTCCACAAGTGTCCGATATATCTAAATATAAAATATCCAGTTGGAAAAATTGATAGTCCCAAATAGCTAACAATGATGCATCAATTTGTGTCAGACTGGCACCACCCATAAATATCCTTACTTCACTATTTCAGCGTAACACGTTGTTGGCTCTGAGTTATTTGTTGAGGATGCTAGTGTACTAGTGGAATGAAATCTAGCTCGTTCTAATCTCATTCTCTCCATCTCGCGCTTCTTCGTCTCAGAAAATTGTGTAGCTATTACAACCAGGCATAGGTTTATCATAAAGAACGAACCAATCTGAAAAAAAATATTGTTACCATTCCCCTAAGACATTCCATAATCAACGATTCCATGTCTGCCGATAATCCAATTCAGAGAAGAAAAATTTCTCAATTATTTCCAAAAGAAGATATTTTATTCTACCATTTTCTGTTAATTAAAATTAATCAAGCATCAGCTCCTGAGATATTTCTCCTAGAGTCCAAAAATAAAGAACTCGCAAGCGGCGTAATTAAAACTCAATTAAAGTAATTGCAATATGAGTAAACAGAAATATTCCATATTCAATAAAAATTCATGTTTTAATCGAGAAGCTGTTAGCTGTTGGCAATGAAAAATTCGATTCCGTAGAAAATAAAAAAAGTCATAAAAAATGGAAAACAATTGTTTTGAAGTGAATTACCAATTTTATTATCATGTGAATAATTCAAGCGGAAGTGAAACATTTTTTTTTTTTCTGGAAATGGATAAATGGCAGTAGTCAAACAATAATCAACGAAATACTTACAACGATGAGTAGTACAAAGTAGATCCAGTCCCAAAAGGAATGGGCATCCTGTACATAGTACATTATATCCGTCCAACCCTCAAGACTTATAACGAGAAATATCGCAACCCAGGCAAGACCAATGTTATCAAACGATATTGTCCCTTGAAATGGATTGTTACCCTGACCTTTGCACTCGGTATAATAGTAATTCCAATTGACACACGTTGTATTCGTGATGAAGGTAACATTACTGTTCGGTACAGCAGTGCTATTGCACACTATATCCCCTATTGAGCGAGAGAGAGAAATAAAAAAGGACAAGCATCAACATATTTTACAGACTCTCATCACCAGAGGCTATTTCCCCTTGGCTTTTCATGTAAAAACGAAAAAGGTAAAGAATGGAGAAATAAAAGAGAGAATTTGAGAAAAATGCACTCACCGAATTTCAGAGGCGGTAGGTTGTCACACGTGTGCATGCCATTATCATCAGGCTTGGAGCATATGTAATCCTGGCCCTGGTACTCAAAATATTTCTCGAGGTCACTGGAATAACAAGGAGAGAAAAAAACGTCGAGTATTCAATTGGATCAAACGCATACTACTCCATCTCTCATAAATCTCGATAATTCCATAGATTATTCATATTTAATTTATATATAGAGGATTTTGATGCACTCGTTTCATGCGGCCTTGTAGCTCAGTGCTTTAATATATCACGGGCATCAACGTTCCCTTGATCAGTAAAGGAGAGACAGACAGAGAGAGTTTTTTATTTGTAAATAGATAGAATAGTTTCTGACATTGACATATCACCAGGCCATAACATTATTCCATTGTCTATTTTTTTTCGGATAGGGTTTCATAAACATTCAATTAAGACACTAACGAGTGCATCGATGCGGAGTACAGTATTTGGAGTCTTGACATGTGCCAGAAGAGTTTAGAAAATTTTTTGCATTAGTATTTTACGGAAGTCATCAAGTTTTAGGTGAAGTTGAGGTTGACCAAGTGTGAAGTGCTAGAGAGTGCAAGTGACATTCCTTGATCGTTTTATTTATTATTCACTCGTGCCTAGAACCTGGGAATTTATTCAGTGTTTTCGTTTCACTGTTGATAAATTTCTGCTCAAGTTTTCAGTGGTGAACTGGCAATTTTCCTCACGGGAAAATAGTCAATGATATTTTTCAAAGTTCCCAAAAAATATATACAAAATTTACAGCATAAAAACGTTGACATATTTTTGACAAATGGATAGGCCAATTGAAAGATTTTTTTTTAACAATCTGTTTAAATTTATTTTAAAAAATATGAGCCAAATAAATAAACTGAAAATATGAAATTCGAATTTTCTGAATAGTTGATTTGACAAAATGTTCATTGATGTTACAATAATTCCGAGGGAATAATTGATCTGAATTTTCCATGGCCCCAGTATTTTCGCGGCAAACAATTTTTAATAATGAAATTCCTGGAGATGTCAGTGGAAAATTTCTAACAGTGTATTTACAGAATGCAAGTTTGACATGCCTATGATGTATGTAGTAGTAATCGATTTCTGATCAATTCCGGGCAATCAAGTTTACAATCAGCCTCGTGTAACTGTCCTACGTCACTCAAAGGTTGTCCATTGGATTATCTCAATTAAAGGGAATTTAACTCGATATTTGTCTGAATGTTTCGTTTCCTCTCATCACGACCGATGAAAGGAAAAGTGAACGATGGGCTTTTTTTTTCCTTGCCCCGAGCTCTTGTTGCTCCATTCGGCTGGTGAAAACAAAACTTGAGTTTCAATACTGAAAAGAGGAAAAAAAGAAGAAGAAAAACACCTGTTCTGTGCGTTAGAGGACAATCACGGTATCACATCGGTAACAGAATGAAAGAGAGCGATACAAAGGAGGGGTAGGAAATGTAAAGAGAGTACAACGGGTGGAAGGAGAATGAAAGTGAGTCTCAAAGGGAGTGAGAGGCTTCTTCAGCGATGATAACATCCCCTTGGTGATAAATTGAGCGCACAGGGGTGGGACTGCTGAAAAATGAAAAAAGAAAGTGACGAGAGAGAAATGAGACCACTGAACTGGTCACACGTCGATGCATACCTGAGTACTCCTAAATGTCACAACTTTCTCGGTCTTGTGAGTACAATTGAAAAAACCACTATCTGAAGACAAGTATTGTCTGGAATATATATGCCTGACGACTCATTTTTTATTCCAGTCATCCGCGAAATTGACAAAAAGTTTATAAAATCCAAAAATATCACCAAAATTCCCCCAATGCGCAAATTTATGTTCAGTAAATGAAATAATTTGGACAATTGTTTGTTGCATTTTCTTCACAGGAATCATATGCTCTTCTCAGTATCGGACACGATGAGATGGAAAATTTCCATTTGTAAAATGAAAATTAATTGAAGAAAAGAAGAATAACAAGTAGAAAAGTCAGCCGTCGGGTGGACAAATGGACATGTTCGTACAGCCAGACAGAGTAATGAAAAGTTGATGAGTGCGAGTGAGATATTTGAGGTAATGGTAGTGAGAGAGAAATAAAGACATTTCCGCGAGTACAGATAGATGTTCAGGTCAGGTCAGGGCACATGCTCTATAACGGCACACGTAACACACATACAGAAACCTCCAGTCTTGTGTCATGTCTTTTTCATACATCATTTTAGTGTTTTTCTATTGATTATAGTTTTTAAATAGTTTATAACATGTATTGTAATACATATATGGAATAGCTCATTGTCTTCTATGAGAAGGCTTACTAAATGCGTGATCGAATCGAGTACTCGTCCGAGAGTAACCTGCAACAGCCAAACAATAGCCTGTCACTGCCCCCCCAGGGCTAGTACTTATGTCATTGTCTTATTTATGTTTCTTCATTCAAGGTCATGGACAATTAACTATTGTTCATCTCACAGCGATGAAAGATTTATTGATGGTAGAAAAAAGGGTTTCTTCATTCCACAAAACTTTTTCGTCAATATGAAAAAAAAGGGGTATTACTCCACCGAATTTCAATTGAAGTATTATGTATTCATTTTTTTGTTATTTATGAATATTTTTGGATAAATCAGAAATAAGTTTTGAGGAATCGAGAGAAGAATTCAACACAATTTTCGTCGTATTTTTAAAAACTCAATTACGTTTATATAAAATGTTAATTAGTGTGAATTTTTGATGAATAGAAATGGAATATGAAATGGAATAAAAATTATTATTTTGTTGAAACGGTGTTTAGTGTGTGATGAATGTAAAAATGTTGACAAAAATTGTGTGAAATTCTGATACTCTTAGTTATGATACGAGAAACTCTTTTTTCCTGTGCATCGGTTTAGACAAAAACAACAGAGAATATTCATCATGTTTAGTTATGAAATAGAAAATCGCAGACGTCAGTGTTAGGGACGTGCGATGATTACTAATGATTTGAATACAAAGTAGAATTAAAAGTAATGAAAATCGATAATTTGGGGGTGCTCGTGACCAATGTGACAAACGCAGCAGCAGCAACAGCGATATGAAATAATGAAAGAGTATCACAATATAACAAAAGTGAACAGAATGGGGTATTTCTGTTCAATAAGCGTCAATTGATTACTATGCCGAAGGGCACAGATAATTATTCGTGAATAGCAGCACAATGGTACTTGAATTACTTGATTACTGATAAAAAAAAAGCCAAACTAGTGTGAATTACTGTGACAGTAAAAAAGATTATTCAATAAACAACAGCATGTGCAGTTAACTATAGCAGATACCTCAAATTTACGTATGATACTGTGTACCCAATGAAATACAGTACAAGAAAATAAATTGAGTAGCATAAAATAGATTCAACGTGATATCATTTTTTTTTTTTCAGTGATAAAGAAAAAAAATTTTGCTATCCCTCGGCCGTCGCCGCCGCCGGTGTCTGCCCCTCATTCAATTATTTATCATTTTTATTCATCACTTGTTGCATATTTTATCATTATTTTATTATATATATTTTTTTCAAGATTGATAAATGGAGAAACAGCGAAGCGTTATTCACGCTGATAATGTAATTCTGATGTGCTGTTGTGTTTACTCACTCTGGATATTTGACGTTTGGAAGTGCCTTGAGGAAGCATCGTTGTCGTAAAATTCCCTCCCAGAGCTGCACACCGACGATTCCAAATATAAAGAAAACGAAGAAACAGAGAAGTAGAACGTTTCCAAGCATCGGTAGTGTATCAAGGAGCAGCATCACGAGTATCCTCATACCTGAATACATCACCATTAGATACAACCGTTGCCTTAGAATCTGATGTACACGTGGAAGTTATGAAAATCAAATATTTGGATGACTGAGATGTTGCAACTGGCCTGAATGAGGAATGTGCTGATATTTCACATGGAAAAATTCAATTTTCACCCCCATTCAACCCGAGTGCAAGTTCAACTCAACGCCTGAACAGTTAAGGATCCAACCTGAGATGAGGCATTGATCAGACATGTAGTGTTTCTCTTTCTTTGAATTTTCCGAATTTTTTCGCTACCCAAACCCTCAGGAAAAATTTGCGAAATAATCTACAGCCTCGTGGTGACGAGTCGGTTTGATCTCACTTACCTTTCCGGTCATGCGAGATATTTCGATAATTTCGAGATCCATTTCACTTGTCCTTTTCATATTCGGATTTATATGTACTCACTCGGTATCCTGTTGATTGCACGTAGCGGTCGCAGTACTCTAATCGTTCTTATTGCTGACAAATTCATGTTCTCTACGTTTAGACAGTACTCCAAGGCTCTGGAAAATATTTACAGATTTTTTCAGGCCAGAAATATTCACGAATTACTCGCTCTTGAAATTACAGATTAGAAAGAAAATTATGTAACGTATTTTAGTAGATGAGAGGAGGATTTTTATTATTTATATGAAATATAAATATTTATATTGAACAGAAATAACCGATTCCGTCCATAAATTAATTCGAAATTCGTGAACAGCCGCAATACAAATTTCAGTGAAAAATTGTCAATACATGAACAGCAATTGCTTTTATAAGACAATCCTTCAAAATTTATATATCATGTATTTAACAGGTATTCAATTAAATACATGTAAAATCAAACTCTAGGGATTTTGGTATAATCAGATAGTGAAGAAACGCTGGGAATAATTCAGAATCACTCAATAAATTAATTGACGAATGAATTGAATTATCCAGGGAAATCACTGTGGAATAAATTATGGAAAGCACTTGCGAGTTTATAACCCATGGAAATTCCGATAAAATCTAAGAGTTTCGCAATTTTACGAAGAACTTGGAATCTCTCGTTCGAGGAATTCTAGAATGTTCCAAACACTGAGAAGGAATCAATAACTTCCAAGAGAGGGTTGGCAAAGTTTCGTGGAAATCTATATATCTCATCGCAGGTAACAATGAGGGGGAAATAAGGCTGAAATATCGTATTAATGACTCGTTAAAATAGTCCTGGTGATACTTACCCAGCGGCGACTATAAAGAAGTCTAATCTGTTCCACGAATCAGCCAGATACGTCCCTTTACCATAAACCCCCATTGCCACCATTTTAATCGTCATCTCCAGGGAGAAGAACATGAAGATTATGTCGTCGAACATCTGCGATAATTACCCAGACAAAGAAACATTACGAAAAGTATTATAAAAATTAGGTAATATAAAGCGGATGAGTTATGGAATTATTTATAACAACTGCTGTTTTCCATAACAATTTTTAGAAAGTAGAAACACAAAATTTTTTAAAGTAGTTTTTTTATTTCCAAAACATACAAGACCGTTATTTTTTCTGAGTAAATTTTCCGGGAGTTGATTGTTTTCCACTTGAAATTCAATGCAAAAAAAAATGGTTACCCATGCACGTGGAAAAAAATCGAACAGTCCTACGTCATCTGGTGTAGAGGTAGAGTATTTTATGAATGAAAGCGATTCACTGAAATAATAACTCTAATAGCCGGAAACGACACTTTTGCGTAAGACATAATTGCGATGTACGCTTGTATATATTTTCCTTGCGTCAGGTAAAAGAGGTTCCAGAAGATGAAAAGAACTTGAAAGATAGAATAAAAAATATGAAAGTTGAAATGGGAAATTTGAAGAGATTTCCTCAATTCACTCCCGACCTATTTCGGAGTGATGTTGGAGTTAATCAAGTTGATGTTAATAAAGTTGATGCGGTTGGCATTGCTCTCGATGATGGAATTACTAATGATATTGGAATTTCGGCTTATACATAAGCAGACACTCATATTAATTTTGCGGGATTGACAATATGCAGCCGGAAATTGATGGAAAATCAGATGATCGTTTCAGAATCATTTCATGCGTTGCGATAATAGCTCGAGTAACATAATAATAACGATAGTAGGGAATATACTCAGTGGTGAATTAACTGGATAATCAGGGGTTTTTTGTTTTATTATTATATTATGCGCGATTCAAATAAATTCCCGTGAATTTTCATGTTTTTAATTATGCAGTTGCGCTACGGGGATAAACATAAAAAATTATTATAATGCTGGCGTCAGCTTTAAAAACATCACTCTTTTATGGCTGAGAAATATTTAAGTGGTATAAAATTAATGTCCGTAAAATTTCTAGTTATCTCGACGTTTCGGAGAGATTAATCTTAAAAATTGAAGACTAAAATTGATAGGGACTGTCACGTAATAAATGGATAATAATAATTTTTTAACTTCTTAACTCATTTAATTTTTTATCGTAAGAATAAATTTTAAATCGATGTATTGTAACGTGTTGGTACAGGGCATGCAACATTTAATGTTTTAGGTCACCTGTAAAATCTTGCAGCGGTTGGTGACGCACTTGTCGTCTACGCAGGGTTGATACATCCCGAGGGTGATGCAGTTGAGTAGGATGACCATCATGCTTATCCTCTCGAACCACGTGTTGTCATAAAAAGACAATTTATCTTCTGAGTTAAGGTAAAAATCATTGATCCATCACAAGAGGTCGCAGATTATCTGAATCATCTCAAGAAAATTGATGTTTCCCTTTAAAGTGCAAAAGGTGCATGCGAAAATTTAATTTTCATTTTTTATTTTCAGTTGAAATTTTAAGTGTGATTTTTTAATAGCGCCTAGGTGGTGTGACGTCTAGCCCTGTGCCAGGGGTAAAAAAAATGGACATGCCTTCCACCAAATGTCCCTTTCTATTTCACGGTACATTCATTTCTCCATCTCCAACACCCCAGAACAATTCTCCCACTTTTCCATTCTGCTGAGACGGCAATAAAAATAATTCAAGAACTGGAAAAAAATTACATCAATTTCCAAGTCTAAAACTCGGGTTTGTTTACTTGGTAATATTTTTCATTCATAGCCTGCCTTTGCTGACTTTATTATAAAACTTTCACGATTTTTCTCCCTACACATAGAGCAGGGGGACTTTCATTTCTTTTACATGAAAAAAAAAATCGATCCTCTCGTTATTAATTAAGAATGCTTAATCTCGAATTTTTAAATTTCAGTGAATAGCTCCTCGATTTTCATGCTCCGGTTTTATCATATTTTTTTTTTCATTATCAATCGTTGGATTAATTTCTTGATCCCATGAAAACACAAGTGAATTATTCCATTAAAAATACAAAAAAAAAAAAAAGAAAAATTGCGGAAATAATTGGATTTTTAACGAGATTTGGGATGTTTTTAATAATAAAAAATGAACAATAAATTTTAGTCGAGGTAGAAATCCTGAGCGGAAGAATGAGCGACAAGTGAAGAGACCACGACAATAACCATGGAAAAGCTGGGAAACCGCAGCAATGTACTAGTAACACTATGACACTGTCATGTGTCCTTGAGGGAGTCGAGTAAAAACAATGGTATTCAGGTTGAAAACGGCATAACGACAAGCACCAATCCTAGCTGTACCAACTCCACCATTGCAAGCGAGACCGAGAACTCCTCGAGGAGTTACTTTCCGGTCTATTTACCAACGCTTCCGAAATACCTCGAGGCGACTCTCAACATTCCACTCATACCAGAGAATCTACATCGGTCCAAGTCGAAGGACAAAATCATCGAACATCATGGCAAAATTCCGATAACTGAGAGCATCACTCCTACTGCAAATGAGTAAGTGAAAAAACGTCTCAAAATGTGAAAGAGCGAAGGGATTCAAGTCGCCCTCATTCCTCCGTATTATACAAGTACCTCTTGCGATCGATATAACACTTGACAACACCTGCTAAGTAACATGTTCAAATCCCTACCCACATCCTGAGAATCTCAGCGACACGTGTCAGTCCCCTAAATCCATCGAATCACCCACTTACTCCAACCCTATAAATTAATTCGCTCGAAAATTATTTCATCATTGCATGGAGCTGCCCCATAATTCCACCATTCATCCCGGCGTTCACCAATCAGCTCATCCTCCCCCCACAAAAAAAAAACACTTCGAAATGAAATTGATTAGAGAGCGCTGGTGATTGATATAAAATTAATATGAAGAAATCGTAAATTTTTATTAAAATTTCATTATCATACTGGATTGAAATATCGGGATATCGAGTTGCAATTAAATTTGCGCTTTCAACCACTGAGAAGTTGAAATTTGATCCTGAGATTCTTCTTGATCTTGATATCCTGCCGATTAAACTTGATTGAAATCAATAATAAATGCAATTAATCACGACAGAAAGCAAAAGGTCACGACAACTTCAGAAAACATCCTGATAATCTGATTTGGTTCCTCTAAAGAGAATTCTCTCGAGATTTATTATAAATAAATAAAAAAAACGAGAAAGCGGATGAAAATATTTTGGCGTGTGGAGTGAATTTGGGAGTGGATTAAATAGCAAGTTGGAGACAGCCCGGTAAAACCATAATGTTGAAAGACTTGAGAGCACGCACCGAGGGAGAGCGAGAGGGAGAGCTGGGGAATATCGGTGGAGCCGTGGAGATATCACGATATTGGGTGAGGCTGATCGATAGCGAGCGGTCGGCAGCCATCAGAGAGGCCAGGGTAAAGCCTTCAAAAGCCAAAAGTCTACCCCAGCTGGTCGGAGAAAGTGTTGTTGAGTTGATGGCCTCTGAGGCTTTTTCACCCCCTTTATTACTCCCTTAACCCACTCTATCCCACCTCACCCGGCTAATGTTCACCCAAACATCCAGAGCTCGACCCAGTGTACAAACAAACCCCCAAACCCAACCTCCCCATCAAAATACCAATCTAATATTCCATTTGAGTTTATAAAACTCTCGCTGAAAACTTTGGCCTAGTTAATTCGCAGGATTATCTCATACACCATTGCCACATCTACAAAGCCATCATCTCTCACTTTTGCATACTGAAAAAAGCTCGCAGATACGCATATGGAGTCTAACCGCAGTAATGCAGCGCCAGAGAGAGGGCTATCCATTCAAAAATAGAAATCATGATGTGGGCGGTTAGGCATGTCGATATATAACGGAACGAGAGGTTCGTTATGTATTTGAAACGGCGGTAACGTTTTTTTTCTTTTTCAAATTTTCACTCGTTATTGTTGAAATATTTGAAAGTAACAGCTAAATTGCCTTCCGAGAAGCATAAAAAAAGATTAGGATTTTTATACTCGACGGGAATGGCTGTGAGTCTGACTGATCGAGGGTCTGTACTACTCGCCAAGTTGGAGATCTCTCGACTGCTCGATTATATCTCCCTCGAGGGAATTTTTTTATTTACGTCTCGAGGAGTCTTGTAATAGGACTGTTTGCTGGCAATAAAACCACCGTTGTACAATACCAGTGGTGAAGTCCGTGGGGGCGGATGGAATATCTTTCATTTCGTCGAGAGAATAGAGCATAAAGGTGGATGGAATTGTGGGTAAGAATGAGTGCTTTAAATTAATGAGACAATTCCACTCTTTTCTGACCGTTGGACAAGTTTGTGATGTCCATAGCATCAAGATGAAGCTTATTTATGGTGTGTGAAATACTGAGGGTAATTGACAATCGACGCTCGAGCAAATTGTTCGATCTACTCGTACTTCCGCCAATCCAACCCAACGAGATTAACTTATCCCCGCTGAGCTAACGAGCAACCAACATGACACGTTAAATCCCCATTCTCACCCCCTTTTCTACCCCTTTACCACCCCCTTTCCCGCCCCTTAACCACCTCATGCCATACCGCGTGTATTCATTTCCCTTCTTTCACTTTTTACCAATTATATTTCTCGTTTATTAGCAGTTAAACGATGAAAATCGATTTTATCGCGTTACATTGTCGCATTGAAGACAGAGTAAATTATTAGTACTTGGGCAATAAAAAGAAATAAAAAAAGTGGACGTAATGGAAATGTGAAGTACACGTCTATCCCCCATTTGATGGTCTTGAAAAACATCCCCACATCCTCAGTTGTGACTCGCCAGTTCATTTCCCCGGGTGTTTTCCCTCTTTGTTATCTCTCCACATACCCCATTATCCTCCACTTTGTATCAAACTCATCTTTCCCTGTCTTTCTATTCCTCATATCCACTCGTCTTTCTCCACATTTTTCCGTTATCTCTCTATCTATCGTTTTCTCGTTTTGAAATCTTTCGCGGAAACCGAGTCTATGAATGCCTCGCTGCATGCAATTCCCGCGCTTCCTACGGGCCCCCCTACGATACGCCTCCAAGGACAGGTCGATCGATGACCCATTTACCCTTTCCTCTAGAGGGGTGGATAAAACGAAATCCCGGAATCAACGGCGCATCTACTAAATCACCCACTATATTTTCTCATTGTGCATTATCACTATTCACTGTGTCGTCACAACGCCAATCCTGAGGTTCAATGAATCCGGAGGAGAATAGAAAGGGGCCTGATAACGACGAGATATATACTGAAATAATCGGCAAGCAAATTTCCTCATATGCATCCACCAAATTCCATGAAATGCAGCTGATTTCTTTGAAATGATAAAAATCAGTGATAAACGCGTGCTTGTAGTTAACTCCCTGGATAGGTTGACTGATAGGGTAGATTTGTTTTTCCCCACGACGACTTTATCCCTTTATTCATCCCCTACTTGTTATAAGATCCATGGGGGAATGTTTTATAAATGACCGTGGAAGAATGAAAATCATGAAACATTCTCGAGACACGATATGATCATTGATTCGCAAGGGGCGTGACTCGCTATGAATTATTATTTCCTCTTTTCTCGTCATCAACCTCCACTCTTCACTCTCCCAGCTTCATTGATCAATATGTTATGCGATGGGCAATAAACAAGAGTTATTTCATATTATAGATGCAAAAGGATATGGATTAGTGATGAGGCAAAGACACCAGTTGCGCGGTCGTGTGGTTTGATCGAGGTAGCGCAGTGCCACTGGTGTAAAGCCCGGATACGGCAACTCCTCGGCATCCTCACCGTCCTCGTCATCCTCTTCATCGTCTTCGACTGAATTATCATCGTCCGTCTGGACATCTGTCTCGTCGCTGTTCTCGTCCATCTCGTTGATTCCATCGAATGGCATGTCATTCATGCCATCACGACTATCATCCTCATCCTCGTCATCCTCGAGGTCACTGAGTTCAGCAACATCACTCTCCGAGCCTTGTGTCTCGCCACTAGCACTCGTTCTGCCACTTGCCGAGCGATAACGATACCCCGGTCTATAGTAGTGCATGGACATTTTTTTTTTGCTTTATCTATTTTATTTTCTCGATTTTCTCGATTTTCTCGATTTTCTCGTTTTTCTCGATTTTTATTTCTTTTATTTATTTATTTATTTTTTTCTATTCTCACATACTCTCGTTCAGGCTTCCGAATATAATCAATTATTGGATTTTCATGTTACTTTTCATTCAAACTATTTCATTCGATTTTATATAATTTAATGGCAATCATTGGATTTATGCTATAGTCTTCTTATTTTCATTCAATATATTTATAATGCCCAAAGAGCGACAATGGTTTGGGTCACGATTTGTCCGACGCTCGAGTGACTTGTCGGACATTGGGCGTATTAAACTCCTTAATAATCACGGTGAATCGCCGAGAAGCCCTGATATTATCCAACCACCCGAGTACGATGAAACGTCACAACGTGAACAAATCAAAGGGCGACATGCTAATGGGATGAATTTATTCAGCCACCCATTGCTATCCGTAAGGTCGACAAATTGTGATGTACATATCTTCAATTTAACGTGTACCACTGCTCCCTTCGAAGCGGCAGTCCACTCCAGCCAACACCTTGATCCAATCTTCGTTGTCAATTTTGACAATTTAATTTGTTTAACTCACCCCTAGAAAATCCCCCACCCCTTCCCCCCCACCCCCCGCTATCCCACATAAATCTCAACTTTATAATTCAAATCCCTTATTATCGTTATCCAGTATATCC